CGCCGCCCACGCGAGGCAGGTTGTTAACCGAGATGACGCGTGCTAGCATCGAATCGACGTTCGCTGTTATCTTCGCGCTCCAGTTGCCTTTTTGAGGCGCAGGTGCGCGTCGTAGTGGGGCGCCGCGCCCCTCGGCGAAGTCAGCGCTCTGACAAAGAGCTCAATTGCCTACGTGTAACCCTGGCCGCTTAATCCCATCCGCGAGATGTGGTGAGGTCGCCCCGCACTCGCAATCCATGGTGGGCGCCTGCGCCGAACAAATGAAGCCGCGACTGGTCGATGGCGGCGCCCAGCGTGAAGCGGTGCTCGAACGTGATCTTCTGGCCATCGTGCCACCGCGAGGCACGGCAAATCAAGTGTATTATGGCGCGATCCTTGTAGCGCAGTATCTCGCACTCGACGCGCTGGCTGAATCTCGTCGGAAGGCGGAGTGTAGGAGTGGTCTGGCGCGCGGGCGGCAGCCGCTCGCGGCGCTCCCTACTGTCGTTCACCGCAGAGGGATGAGGTCGAGGACGTCTTGCGGTATGTATGTTGGCTGCTTGTAGTGCTCGTGCCATCTCCTCCTTGGTGGCGCGCCGCCGCCAGGGGTGCAGCTTGCGCAGCTCCCGAGCGCGCGCCCCATGCGAGTCTCCGCGAAGTGCTCGTAGGGATGTGGTGGCGTCGAAACAGGTCCAGTCTGAAGAAGTTGGGTTGCCTGCTGCTGCGTCGGCAGCTCGGGGCGCTGGCCGTCGGAGCTCTGCGCCCGCCGCCGGACTGGCTCGCGCCCCTGCCCGAGTGGCGGAATCGCCCGAGCCGCTGCCCTGAGCCCATCTCTAGATGGCAAGCTGGCTCTGGATTCTCGCGCGGGCGCGGGCGATGCAGCGGCCTCGCCTGTCGCGCCGAGATCTGCGCCGCTGGGGGCTGAAGCCGCTCATCGCTGGAAATGCGTGGTCCTCCATGTCGTGCTGGTGCTCGCGGGCGCTGGCTGGCGCGCGGGCGCGGCCGTGCGCGGGGGTCCGCGAACGTGCGCTTGCCGAACTCGTGGGCGCTCGCAGGGCGGTCGCGTTCCTTCTCCTCCTGGCAGCCAGGGCGCCCCCAGTTGATCGGGGCGCTGCGGTGCGGGGGTAGCGGCGCGTTGCCGGATCCTTTGGGTGGGCGGGCGAGTCTGCCCGCATGTTGCGCTTGCGCGCCTCGCAAATGCAGGGCGCGCGCTCGGCCGCCGCCGCGCGTCTGGTCTCGCCCTCCGCGGCTGCGGTCGCCACTGATGGGAAAGCTGCCGATCGGGCGCCGCGCTCGCGAGCGCAGTTCGCGAGGTGCGGGCGCCGCAGACGGCGACGCGTGTCCAGTGCGTCCTGGGCGAGTCGCTCGTCGCCTCGTTGTTGGCGCAAGCGTAGACGCCTTGCAGCGCCGCCGCAAGCGCCGGCGTCGCGGCCCCCCTTCCCCCCTGGACAGGGGGCCAACGTTCTTCATCGCCATCGGCAGTTTCGCGCCTGAGTCCTCGTTCGGTAGCGTCGTCGCCGAGCAACTCGGCCGGCAAAATCTCCCCGCGAACTCCCAGGAGGGATCGGCGCCGGAGGCAGCTGCCCAAACGCGCGTCGACTTCGCGAAACTTGGCGCCGCCGCGCGGCAGTCGTCGCCCCCTGGTAGAAGCCGCTTCCATATCGGAGCAGATAAGGCGGCGTTGAACACGTGCATCGCGCGGTCGTTGCGGCCGCCTGGAACGCCTCCGCCACGGCAGCACGCCGCGCGACCGCCGGCGCGCCCGGCCAGCGCGGGCAGCGGTTCCGTCGTTAAGAACGGGCGCCGCGACTGCGGCCTCGAGGAAGAGAAGCGGTGCGACTCGCCAAACCACGCAAACATAACCTGAACGCCGTCCCCGCTGCCTCGTACTGGTTGGTCCGGTTGAGAGACGCTGTCAGATTGTCGTGAATCGTCGCGTGGAGCGCGGCCAAATTAGCGCCAGAGGCAGCTTGGGAGATTTCCCATGGAGGGATCAAGAGACAAGACTGTGCCACATGGAAACAAATGTCGCTCTGCAACCCAACTTTTCGCATCGTGAATCCATCCCTAAACGTGCGCCGAATGCGCTCCCGTTTTCAATTTCTTCGACCGGAAGACTGACAGCGGAGCTGGCGGAGACGCCTGCGTTGGCGGCGACGCTGATGGCGCTTTGGTTGCTGGTTTTGCTGCCGGTTTTGCTGCTGGCGCAGCTGGCGCGCCACGCGCAACGCCTGACGCGCCGGAAGAAACGCCGCGTAGGCTGCCGCCGCGAAGCCTCTCGGGAGGTGGGCCACCCGCCGAATCCGACAGTGTCTGGCCTGATCAACGACTTAGTTTTAAAAATGACACTAATTACTTGGGAAATGATACTGATATGGTGATGACGGTGATGATGGGGATGCTGACAGTGATAGCGGTAATGATGGCGGTCGCGACATGGCGGTGCTGATGACATAATGATGACGGTGGTGCCCAGCGACGTGGCGCTGCGGCGGATGATGGCGATTGTGCTCATGATGACGGCGATGGCAACGACAACAGTGATGATGGCGGTGATGCTGATGAACATTTCAATGAAAAGTGTGGTGGTGATCGATGACACGCTGATGGTGATGTCGGCGATGGCGCGGCCGTGGCGATACCAAAGATGGCGACGACGTGGCAATCCTTACTCTGATGCGCGCCCGTGGTGGATCACTCAGATACGCAAGAACCCCAGAGGGCGGGCACTGCCTGGGGAGTATGAATGACTGACACCCTGGCGGTAGAACAACTGTACACACTCTCGATTCCGTAATAAAGCCGCACGGGCTGTTTCAGACCCCCCCCCGAACCAGCTGTGAAAGGGCGGCCTTTTGCCCAGACCCCCTGGAACCTTCCAAGACAGCTCAAATCTGACCCCCAGAAAAATCAGACCTCCCCCGCTTCTTTAAGGGCCCTGGGACACACAAGTAAATACACACAAATAACAGGATCCCCCATATTTCCTGTATTTTTTTGGTTTCTGTCTTCACCTCCCATTTCCCCTATTTTGCCGTATTTTCCTGGGGATCGACGACTAATTGTGTCTGTGTGTTTTCCCCCCTCCTGATTGCTGACGACATGGGGAATACTTATTTACGCGATGGGTGGCCACAGTATTCGGGAGCGGCCAAGAGGGGGGTGTCCAAGAGGGGGGGTGCAAATCATGACCGGCGGCACGTGCGCGGCCCAGCGGGGGGGGGGCCAAGGACGTAATGAAAGAGGAAGGGGCACCATGAAATCTGGGGAAATATCATGGCCCCCGCCATGATATCCACCCCCCCCAGTCATCACCCCCCTCTCTGCCGCCCCCGACGCATGGGGGGCCACAGTACGGGGGGGGGGGGGCACGCCGGGGCGGCCACGAGGGGGGGGGGGGGGCGGGGCGACGACGGGGCACCGCTCTCGGGGGCCCCTGGGCTCAGACAGATCACGCGCACGTGGCTCCTTGACGCATGCCAGGCTGCCGAAGACGAGGCCAGGGCGAGGACGAGCTCGGGTGCGGCTGAGTCGAGGATCTCTGGGATCCCGCGGCTCTGGAGGATGTCTCGGGCGCCGCGGCCTCCTCAGAGCGCTCCGGAACGCTCTGAGAGCGTTTCGGGCCGCCCTGGACGGATTTATCCTCGTCCTAGCCTCGTCCGAGTATACCCCAGAACCCTTACCGAAAGGTTGTTCTCAGACACCCGATTTCTTAATCTTTGCAATGCTGGGGCCCCCGAAGGTCTCCCCCACTCCCCGGGGCCAGGTTTTTTACCCCGCGCAGGTTCTTGACGGCCCCGAGCCCGGCGAGAGCACACGAAACCCGAAAGCGGCAAAAACATTCTGTCGTGATTCCTGTTCATGACGCGAGCGTGTCCGAGTTTGGGGAACTCCTAGGGAGGCCTCCCAAGTGGGGTCCGAATAGAAGTGGTCGGAGCATCGCGCCGCATCGTGGATACATCGCCGATACATCGGCGACGCATCGGCGATGCATCGGCGATGAATCGCCGACGTCGGCGACGCATCGGCGACGTCCGCGTTTAGACGATCGGGCTCCACATCCAGCCGCGTCGCCGATGCACCGGCGATGCGGCGCGATCCTCCGATCCCATCAACTCAGACATGTTAGCCAGCGTGGGCTCCAAGCAATAGGTTTAGGATACTAGGTGATGCAATCTACATGATGCAAGCTGTGTGGTGCAAGTTATGTGATAAAAGCTATGTGTTGCAAGCTCTGTGGTCATTCTAGGTGGGGCAGTCGATGTGGTGCGATCTATGGGTTGAGAGCAGGTAGTTCAATCTACGTGGTGCAATCCATGTGGTGCGATCCATGTACGGGCTATGTGATGCGGTGGGTGTGGTGCAATCCATGTGATGCGATCTGTTTGGCGGAACCCATGTCGTGCCGTCTGCGAGCTGCAGGCTGTGCAGTGGAAGCCATGCGCTGCGGCGACGGGGGGACCCACGGGAAAAAGCCGGCCAGGGCCACGCGCCAGCCCAACGTCGGGGCAACGACGGGCGGCGACGACGAGCGGCGACGGGGCGACCACAGGCCAGCCAGGGCGGCCCTCCAGCCCAGCTGGTGGAGGCGAAGTAGGAGCCCCCAGGTGCAAGCACGGTCTGGGAGAAACGAGAACGATGGAGAGTCATATCTGTCACGAGAGCAGCAACAGCAACACACTAGCAGGAGGAGGTCACATCGGTAATCGTTAGCAGAAGAATGATGACACGAAGGATGAGGACGAGGACCGGTAGGAGGAAGACGAGGGCGAGGAGGAGGCCTTGCACGAGGAGGAGCCGCGGAGGACGAGGGCGGGGAGGACGAGGACGAGGACGAGGGCGGGGACGAGGACGCGGACGCGGGCGAGCGCGTGGACGAGAAGGGGAGGAGGCGGAGGACGAGGACGAGGAGGGGAGGAGGACGAGGACGAGGAGGGGAGGAGGACGAGGGCATGGAGGACGCGGCCGCCTGCGGCGGATCGGCCACGCCCGCGGGCGGCGCGGGCGGCGCGCCCGCCGGCGGCGGCGGCCGCTCGCCGGCCCCGGGCGGCTCCGGCGGGCACTCGCGGGGCGGCTGCCGCTGGGTGCGCGGGCTGAGGTCGGCTCCTCTCGCCGGGAGGCCTCCCCGATGGGGGCCGCGCCGACGGGGCCGGGAGGCCTCGCGCCGGCTCGCCGCTGAACTCGGCGATGCACCGTCGATGCGCCGATGCGTCGCCTCGGCGGTGAGTCGGCGGTGCATCGGCGATGTCGACGCGGAGCAGCTCGGGCTCCAACTCGAGCCGCATCGGCGATGCGTCGGCGATGCGGCGCGACCCTCCGACCCCATGTGCTCCGACCCCATTCGGGAGGCCGAGAGTAGATCTCTCAGGAGCAAAAGGAAGGGCGACGCCACCACGACCAGAGCGAGGAGCCAGGGTGTGCCCCCCCCCCCCCCCCCCGCGTCTCGCTCGAGACGCCGCCGATGCCCAGCTCGGGGAGGCATCGTGGACCTGCTCGCTGGAGGTGGTGGTGGTGGTGGCGGTGGTGGTGGTGGTGGTGGTGGTGGTGGTGTCGCTTCTCCTTCCTCCGACCTTTGGGCCGTGAAGGAAGCCGACGACAAGGAGGAAAGGATCGAACTTCGAGGATCGGGCTTTTTGAGCTCCAATGGCCTTTTTGAGCCTCCTGGGGTGTTCTCGTCGTCACTGCTGGGTTCGCCCCGAGAGTCTGCTCGGACCGCACTGGTAAAACGGGGGACCCAAATCTCCTCGAAAGAAGCCTCCGCGAAGGAAGCCGTGAAGCCTACCATGAAGAAACACCACGAACAATTTTTCGGATATTTTCGCCTCGATAGCCTGGACGGAACGCACCGTAAGACGGGGGACCCAGGTCTCCGCGAAGCCAACCGTGAAGTCTACCATGAGGAAGCGCCACTAAAGGCTTTCCGATATTTTGTCGAGCGTCTGGTCGGAACGCACTGCAAGACAGGGGACCCAGATCTCCGCGAAGGAAACCGCGAAGCCTACCACGAGGAAGCACCGCTGAAGGTATTCCGATATCTTCGTTGGCTCCTGGAGGTTTTCTCCAACCCCCAGGCGCTTTTCAACGACCGCGCGCCGTGGATCAGGGGGACGTAAGACCTGGGTACAGGGGACTCGGAAATCCCCGACGAGGTCGTCAAAAAAAATGACGAGGCCGAGCCTACATTTTGACGAGGCCTCGCTGCAGACATCCCACGAAACTCCTCCTCGTCAAAATCCGAGGCGCGGTCGTCAAAAGAAGATGGCGAGCCCGAGTCCTGGCAAACCCGGGTCTTAGGCTCCCTCGAGTGGAGAGCGTTCCCGGGGTGCTCCGATCGCCCCGAGCGGCCGCCAGTCCCAGGCATCCTGCCGCCCCAACTCTTTCGATGCGTGGGCTCCGGAGGTCTGGGCCACTTCGCCAGGACAGGTTTTTCGTACCGTCCTCCTCCTCCTCCTCCCCCTCCTCCTCCTCCTCCTCCTCCTCCTCCGCCGCCTCCTCCTCGTCCTCCTCCTCCTCCTCCTCACGACGGTCCCGAGGCCCGGCGAGGGCCCCCAGAGGCCGACACTGGCCAAACATCCGCCGCTCCATGTTTGTGGGAGCGTCGGATCGCTGGGGAGAGAGAGCCCTCTGGTGCCTTTTTTCTTCGCAGTATCCGTGTTTTTTCCATCGGATCCTGGGGGACGGGGGCGGGACCTCTGCGGGAGCGGGCCCTGAGAGCAACGGGTCCCAGACCCCGTGGCCTTCTCCCATGGAGTTCGCTCTTCGTCCCCAAGCGCTTTACGACGGCCCCCCAAAAGGCCCAGAGCGACGATAAAACTGAGGACCCGGGATCTACTGTTAGAAAACCCAGGGTTCGCTGCAGACTGGTTCCCCCCCCAAACCCTTCCAAAACCCTTGCAAAAAACCCTCCGGAAAGCCTCCCGGAACCCCTCCCGAGGGTTTTCGGACGGCTTCGTCGGGAGAGTTTCGGTGGCTTTGAAAGGAAGCCAGTCCCTTCTACGAACCCGGGTCAATCCAGACCTGGGTCAGTCGGGCTTTGCAGGATCCTGGATCCTGCAGGATCCTGCACGCAAGCCCGGGCCCATGCACCCCTGATTCTGCAGGACTCTGCCTGCAAGCTCCGGTGCTCTGACTGACCCCCGTTTGCACCGACCCCCGTCCCCAGAGATCCGACGTCGTGCTTTTTTCAATACGGGGTCCCTGGAAGTCTCGACCCCGTCCCCGGGACCAACTTTTCTCATCCTGCGCCGTTCTTGCACGGACCCGGGGCCCGGCGATGGCCCCTCGCCGACACATGCGAAAAACCTCCATCCCGATTGTTTCTCAATGCGCTGGATCTCTTGGTCTCTTGAGCCACGATTGGAGGCCTCGAAATTGGCACCAACACAAACACAGGGGGGGTGCCTCCACGTGGGGAAGATGATCCTAGATTTCGGTGTTGGTGGCAATACTTCGGCCACCTTGGAAGCCAGAATATGACCACCATCACCGAGATCGGGATCTTCTCTCCTCGGTGGAGGCACACCGCCGATATTGGTGTTGGTGTCAACCTCTGGGCCTGCGACACGAGAGGACCCGCGTCCCGCCCCCAGAGCCGGCGTGCTTCGGGCGCTCCTGGCGGGGGCACGGCCAGAGGGGCAGGCCGCAGCCGCCGGCGGCCCGCGGCCTCTTCCCGGGGGGGGCGCCAGCCGACCACCTCGCCGAGCCTGGCCAGCCCAGGATCGGCGGCAGCGCTGCCCAGGAGGAGGAGGAGGAGGAGAAGGAGGAGGCGGAGGAGGAGGAGGAGGATCGAGGAGGAGGAGGAGGAGGAGGAGGAGGATCGGGGAGGATCGGGGAGGATCGAGGAGGATCGAGGAGGATCGGAGAGGGTCGAAGATCGAGGATCGAGGAGGAGGCCACGCCGGGAGGGTCTGCATCAGGAGAGGCGGAGTCCAGACCCAGACCCCCTCGAGCACTGGAAAAATCATGACGGGAACTTTCTCTCGCCATGTTCGGCATCTGGGGGCCCTACACTCGCGGGGCCTCGGGGCCGTCAAGAAACGACTCAGGATGAGGAACCGGTCCCGGGGAATGGTCGAGACCTCTGGGGGTCGACGTAGTGAAAAAATCATGACGTCGGGGGTATGGGGACGGAGTACAGGTGGAGACCCACGCCAATAAACGCCCTGCTTGCCTCCAGGGTGCCCTGGGTTTCTTGGGTTTCGATGGTCTTGCTGTGGGAAGCGTGGCGTTCCCTCACCAAACATCTGTGGACGTCCTGGGGTCTCAGGGTTGGGTTTCTTGTGCAAGGTTCCTTGTGGTCGAGCCCCTACTGCAAGTCCAGACAGAAGCCCAGCACTCCGTATGGACTTACTACGTACGGACGGAACCTCTGCTGACTGTGCACCGATCCTGTGCCCACGATGGGCCCGGCCAGATGCGGCGAGGTCTCGCCATCGCTCGGACGTCCACTCCGCGTGCATTTGCGGCTTCTTGCGCTTACTTCTCGCACGACGATCCACGATGCTCCTAGCTGGTCCTCGCGAAAAAACAAATTCACACGTCCGAGCAATGCCAAGAGGAAAGCCTGTACACCGATCCTGTGCCCATGATGGGCCCGGCCGGTTTCGGCGAGGTGGTTGGCTGACTTCGCCCGAGCCTTGGGAGCGTCTGCATGTTGGCCGCACTGGGCAGCAAGCGGGCTGGAACTTCCGTCGTCCTGGGCCAACTTCCCGTGAGCGGCCGCTTCCTTGCGCATGGGTATGCGCTTCGACGACAGAAGACGGCAGCCCAGGAAGCCGAGCATGAACACGAAGTACATCGTTATCTCCTTCTGGTACTCCTCCCACATGCCCATGGCGAAACTCTGGGCCATCTCCATGGGGTTAGCGAACGAGTCGATTGACAGAGACATTGCTGGCTCTGCCTGGTGGTCAGGCTATGCCTGAGAAAGCTACGTTGAAGTGAATGCAATCGAGAGCTTGCCAAGCGAGCTCCGACAGCAAAGCTGCACGGGATGCAAATCCGAGTTATCACACGTACGAGGCTGTGGTTTGAGCCAAGATCTGGTGGCGCCGCCGCTCAACTGCACACGCTCGCTGAACACACACCACTGGTAACTACCTGCATAGATCGACAAGGGATGAGCAACTCACTGTGACACGGTGGGGTAAGATATGCATAAGTTTCTCTGCGGTTGCATGTAGCAAGGCGATAGCACACGTCAATAAATGATATGTCATTGAAAAAGAACGCGGTTTCGATCAATGTGATGCTGCCCTTTTCAGAATTCGGAGAGCGAATATCAACTCGTCAAATGGTGTAGCTTTGTGCCCAACCGTGGCGAACTGCTGAATGGATGCAAGGGGAACGCTTTCAGCAGGCCACACTCTCATGTGCTGTGCCAGACTATAGAATTCGGGACACGAGGTGATGTATCTGGGAATGAAGTGATATGAATCCAGGTGGCGGAGCATGAAGAAGAGGATGATGGTATGGTACATGGAAGGACGGAAGATAGGAAGGAGGGTTAGAAGACAGAGGAGGAGGAGGACAAGGAGGAAGAGCAGGAGAGATGAAGGGGGAAGGACGGGGGAAGAACATGAACTTGTATAGGAGGACTTGCGACCAGGGCCGCGCGGACAGTAGTGGAGGCGGAGATGGACAGAGGAGGAGGACGGATAATGAGGAACAGGACATTGGGAAGAGAAGGGACGGACAAGGGAATCGATGTAATCTCACCAACTCTCTGGGCGTATACGGATTGGGGCTTCAGATCTTCCAGCCCTAATGACCCTCTCGTTCGTGCTGTGGACGGCGAGGGGCCGGGAGCAATGAGAGAGCCCAGGATGGCTCCTTGAGGACCCATTTGCCGTATAGTCCAAGATGGATTCCAAAATGGCGCAACATAATTTGAATCGGCTTGCGCTATCTTCTAGCATGCCTTCAAACCGCCTGCGAACCGACACACGAAGATCTCAAGGATGTTGCGGAGAGGCGACAATCCTTGCACCACAACCGGTTTTTCAATGACTTTGCTTGGTCGCCTTTTCGCTTCCGATGAGCTTCTGAAGCCTCAAAATGACTATGGCATCACCTACGAGCGCCCCAAGGGGGGCCCAGAGGCCCAACACGACCCCAAAGGCCACAACAATGTCCCAAGACCACCCAAACAGGCGAATGTCTCGGGCTCCAGAGGGGTAATCCTCATTTTTCTCCTGCGCGGTATTATTGAACAGCCTCAGGTTTCCGATTGATGTTAGGGGTTCGGGTGCATCATTGGGGAGCTGTTGGGCCAAGGTGGCTCCAATACTGCCTCAGATGCCCTAAGAAGTCTCTGATACGGCGCAACATTTGCTCACATGGCTCACCATTGCCTCCATCATGCCTCTCAAAGGCCCCCAAACGGCTCCAACTGGCATTACTCGCTCGCTCACTCACTCACTCTACCGTGCACTGCGCAATGCACTGGCTACATGCGGGACGCTAGGCTACTCACGTGCTGCTTCTGCTCAGACGGCGAGGCGGCGACTCTGTCCAACCCAGCCAATGCCCTGGCTTCCAGTCGCATTATCGAACACAACCGTTCCACCCAACTCGGTCGAGGCCTGCCGCGGCGCCACCCCCACGCTGCGGCCTCAAAAATAATGCAGGCGCCATGGGAAGCGACCTTCCTCAACTCTGCTTTCTTCGGGTCTCTGATCGCCTGGCCTAGCAGGTGCAATTGCGAGCTCCTGATGATCGATCAAAGCCTCTGGCTGTGGCATAGCGCTCTCCCGATGATCGCGAAAGTGGCATCAGAGGCACCCATGAACGCGCCCCAAAGAGCAGTATCGTTCAAAGCCCATGAGTTTTCCATGCTGGTAGCCTTGTCGCCTTTTCCTTTCCGATTGGCAGCTGATGCCTCAATATGGCTACAGCACATGGCAACAACACCCACAATACAACCCCAACATGGGGCGAGAACGATCAGAAACGGCCCAAAGGCCCCGAACAACTCGAGCCAATGAAGCGCAGCGCTAATCCAGCCAGCTGACGCCGTGTCGGAAGGAGCCATCTCTGGCATGGACAAGGTGGGGGCCCACAAGTTTGAATTAGACAATTAGACCCCTCCCTCGACTCCGTAACGACTGGGCCGATCGGGCCACGAAATCGGGGGCCAGTCTTCGAGAGCGTGTTGCGCATCTCGTGGCTGCCTCCTGAGCTGCTGTCAAATTGGCCGCCCGTGTGATGCCGCTCTGGCCTCGCACCGACTTGGACGGGGTACGGCCGGTGCCGAAGCCGAGGGCAGACAGAGAGGCCGGTCCTGGGGACGCTCGTGGGCGCTCGCGGGTCTCCCGCCTCGGACTTTGTTGGCAGTGCCCACGCTGCCTCGGGTGGTCGCGCTCGCCCGTGCAGCCGCCCGCGGGAGGGTGCACACGCCATCGTCGGGTCAGCCCTCGATCCTTGAGGGAGCCAGGACACCGCTGCGTGCTCACTGATTGCAGTGACGCTCGGGTTCGCATGCATTTGCCAGCGTTGCGGTTGCTACACCTCGGGTGAGCGCCTTGCTAAGCTGAGCAATGAGTGGGAGCCTCTCGTCGGACCGCACAGGAGCGCTACTTGTTGGCAGCTCGGCAAAGGACACCATCCGTATAGGGAAGGGGTCACAGTCGAGCTTTCAACTTTTTGTCCACTCTGACTGGGCCTTTGACTAATGATGTCAACAAAACACCAAGGGAACCCACCTCGCATCCCAAATTGCCCCAAGACTCTCCCGAGCTTAGCCTCAAGACGCCTCCACGAGCACCCCCCAGATCGAGATATGGCTGATCCCGAGCGCTTCGGTTCGACGGCCGCCTCTACTTTTCCAGCGCCTGTTCATACACTTCCCAGATCAAGGCAATCCGACTGGGGATCGATTTTGGATGGGCCGACAGGGACACGCGAGGTGTCAAGATCTGGTGAGGACGAGCCGGAGGACGAGCGACAGGAAGGAAGAGAGGAAAGGAATGCCAAAAGGAAAGTGCAAGGTGGGCGCCGCCAGGGGGGCCTTTCGCAGATCCGAAAAGTCCGCAGGGACCTCCGAAACATTACAGTATGTGCACATGCAGGAACACGCAACTTCGGAGATCTGGGGCTCCTTCTCTTGCACTTGCCGAGGCCTCTCGTCGAGGGAGGAGGAGGGAGGAGGAGGCGGAGACGGAGGAGGAGGAGGAGCAGGAAGAGGAGGAGGAGGAGGAGGAGGAGGCGGAGGCGGAGGCGGAAGAGGAGGAGGAGGAGGAGGAGGAGGAGGAGACCCGGTACTCCTAGTGGCATTCGGGCCAGAGCTCAGGCCTCCGGCGGCCGCTCGGGACGATGCGGGCACGCCCCGAACGCCCTCGGCGCGGCGCAGCCGGCGAGGAGCGCGCCGAGGCAGGAAAACCCTCGGGGAACCGACGAACACCTCCTGACGAACCAACAACACACACCCATACCCATAGAGGGGTCGGAGAGGGCTATGGGTGCGTGTTGTCGGATGGGGGTCCCCGCTCGAACGGGAACGTTCCCCAGGGTCCGACAACCCACACCCATACCCATAGCCAGTCCTCCTCCAAACGACCCCCCTATGGGGATGGGTGTGTGTTGCTCGTTCGTGACCTCCGAAAGCTCTCGTCCTTGTCGTCGCCGCCGCGCCTCCCTTTCTCTCTCAGCTGCCGAGGCTCCTCCTCGCAAGGGCCGCGCGCGCCCCCGGCGGGAGCCGCCGCACGGGCGTCACGGCGGGGGCGTCGCCCCGGGCGGCGGCGCCGCCAGCGGGCAGCTCGGACAGCGACCGCCGTCGCGCCTGCAGACGAACATGTTCGAGCATGTGCGCATGCAATACGTTGGTGCACGTCTTATCCCATGTGTATGTGTATGTTCACGTTTATACCGCTCATACCATTCTTACTACTCATACACACATACATACATACATACATACATACATACATGCATGCATGCATGCATGCATACATACATACATACATTCATACATCAATCCATACATACATCAATTAATCCATCCATCCATCCATCCATACATACACCCATGCATACATACATACATACATACATACATACATACATACATACATACATACAACCATACATACATACATACATACATACATACATACATACATACATGCATACATACATACATACATGCATTCATATCTACACATATGTACATAAGCATGCACGCACATACACACATACACACATACATACCTACATTCATACATGCATGCACGTATGCATGTATTCATGCATACATACACATGCAGACAAACATACATATACACAAACATGTGTGTGAAAATGTATGCACGTTCGCCAGCGTGGACCCCAAACAGTGATTCCCAGCAATATATGCGTGCAACCTGGGCGGTACCATCAATGCGACGTAATCTAGGCGGCGAAGTCCATGTGTTGCAATATATGTGGTGCAAGGCAGTGCAACGCACTGCCAAGCGAAGCAAGACTCTGCAAAGCAATACAAATCGATGCAGAGCACTGCAACGCAAGCAAAGCAAAAAACAACGCGATTGCAATGCGACTGCATTGCGATTACAAGACCATGCCAAGCCATGCAAAGCACTGCGATGCAAGCCAGTGCAAAATCACACAACTCGATGTAGCACAATGCAAACCTTGGATGCTCGTTCTGGAGACCTTCCTGGAGCCACTCGCTCCACTCGTGCGTCGAAGCTGCGTCGAACGTCAGTCGAGTTGGGTCGACCCTGAGTCCAAACTGAGTCGAAGCTGAGTCGAACCTGAGTCGAACTTGAGTCGAACTTGAGTCGAAGGGGGGTCGAACAGATCCTTTAGGAGGGCTCCAGGAAAGCCCCCGAAACGAGCATCGAACAAACCGATGCGATCAAATGCACTGCAGCGCGACTGCAATCCACAGCAAAATCTGGCGGCGACGGCGGCGACGGGCGGCGACGAGCGGGCTGGACCGCCACTGGGGCTCCGCTACCAACGGCGAAGGCGGCGGCGACGGGCGGCAACGAGCCGGCCGCACTGGCACTCGGGCCGGTTGACAACGGCGACGGCGGCGGCGGCGGGCGGTCACAAGACGGCCAGGCCGACCACCAGGCCCAGTTGCTCAAAAGAGAAGTAGG